ATCCAGAAGGAGAATGATTTATCTGAAAATATCTTTAAGCACAAGACAGAACTACTAGACAAAAAAGGATGTAAGCCTATACTATTTACTCTGGAAAGAGAGAGAGAGAGAGAGAGAGAGAGAGAGAGAGAGAGAGAGAGAGAGAGAGAGAGAGAGAGAGAGAGAGAGAGAACAATATAACAATCAAATTTATTTGTCTTGGCTTTCCCACACAGCTAACTTTTACAACCTAATTCACAGCTGTGAACTTAGTTATGTCCTCTTCCATGCCCTGACCCAGATAATGCATATGAATCATTTGGTGAAAGCAGCAAATACTAAAGTTGGAAGCAACTTCCTAAAATTCCATAAAGGTTGAGAGCAACTATTTATGGATATTGATTGATAAACAATGATGTTTGCTGGGATCAGTTGGAGCCGGTGTATTAATCCCTTGTAAAACTGTGTTAAAGATTTCTGTAAATGATCCCATTTCTCCCCCCCACCCATGTAATGCTTTCTATGCTGTTCAAAGCCCTTTGTTAGAGGCACATGAGCACCACTCACACAGAGAGACACATACAGTACACACAGAACAGACAGGCACCACTCCCACCGGTCACACACACAGCTCACACGACAGACAGACACACATAAGGATAGACACACACAGACCTGGAAACAAACAAATTCACAAAACAGCCTTCAGGCAGGCACAGATTCAGACTCACGCAACAGACGGGGCACAAGACAGAGAGATCATGAAGTAGAGAACTCAAGTCTGGACTCACTCTTGGTTAAAAGACTGCAAGAGGAAGAGCTTTAATCTCTTTCCTTAATGAAACGCCTGAGCTTTATTGGTGTCTTGGAGTTAGTCATGAACGTGTAGTGTAATCCATGCAGAGAGAGACACCGGACTTTCAGGACACCCCAAGGCTCTCTGTTCCCATTCTCTGTTCTGCATTCACAAGACAGCACCTCTGTGGTTAAGACATGTAGCAAATGATGGGAGAGGGGTGGACACATAAAATGTGTTCTTTGCCCCCCAAAGAACTGAAAGTGTAGCACAGACTGCGCCAGAAGTTATCAGAGATGTCCGGGTCGGAAGCTTAGCCCGGAGGACAGCAATTCCACGAGCAGTTGAAGAGCCAGCGAGTCGGAGGCGCCGGGGTTGTTTGCCCAGGTGAAGATGTGGCAGAGGAAGGAGCAAGGGCCTGTCCCACCTCATAACGGTCTCTGTTTGTCCAAGAGGAAATGAGGTCACCCTGCTCTCAAAGAATCAGCATGACAGCCTCCAGCCAAGTAATTCGGAGTCATGAGAGCTGTTGGGGGAGCCACGTGAATCACGGCAGCCTGCTGGGAATTTCCTAGTATAAAACTCGAGTTTTGGGGTAAGTCCTCAGGGCCGTAACATCTCTGTTTACATTTTGATCATGCTTATTTACAATTAATGGCTTCTTAAATCTAAACAAAACTGACCACAGTCTTCTAAAGGAAGTAGCAAGTTACCTTTTGGAGCCTATGGAATCTCTGACTCAGTCCTATGGGCTGCCCAGGAAAACAGATTCTGAAGGATGGTCACCTGCCTACCCAAAGCTGGATAGTGAATGTGTGCTTTCCCATGCAGTGGCTGGCGTCCTGGGACCTCTGACTCGGTGGAGTAAAGCATCCTCCCCCTTCCAGCTCCTGGTGCTCTTTCCCAGGGTTCAGTGTTCAAGGTAGTGAAACCCAACAGGCTTAGGCTCAGGGAAACAAAGCCAGGCGTG